ACAGAGCTGGTTGGCTGTCTCACTGCAGACTTGGAGGATCCCAGCTCCACCTAGCCAAGTGAGTCAAGTGTATCACCACTATGGGGAAGAAAATGAAGGGAAAAGTTGTCTCTGACACTTAAACCTGATCTTCAACCCAGGCACTGCCTGTGCTCTTGACTTTTCTAGCAGAGCTAAGTAGAATATAGCTGCAGCCCAGATTTTATCAGTAACAAACACGAAAATATGCTTGACATAATTAGTCATCATGGAAACACAAATCAAAACCACAACTTCACACCCATTAGGATGGCTAGAAACAGTCAGAAAATAATAACCATTGTCAAGGTTGTAGAGAAAACGGAATCTTCATACACTGCCAGTGGGAACGTAAAATGATGCAGTCACCTCAGAAAACAGGCCGTTCCTCAACTACTTAAACATAGGGTTACCATAGGACCCAGCGATTCCACTCCTGAAATGAAAACGTATGTCCACACAAAAATCTGCACACAAGTGTTCATAGTAGCAATATCCATGATACCCCCAAAGCGGAAACAACTTAAATGTCCACCAACCAACAAATGAATAAATTAAATACTGTATATCCAGGTAATGGAATGTTATTCAGCCATAAAATTGAATGAAACACTTTACCACATGGATGAATCTTAAAAACTTTGTGCTAACAGAAAGAAGTCAGTCGCAAAAGACCATTCATAGGAAAGTCCAGTCTCTATGGTAGAACCAGCCTCAGAGGCAGCAACTGTGGTGGCGGCAGTGGGGAGAGAGAGTGAGGGTTCCAACCTTTCTGTTGGCCTGAAGGTGTTTTGGGCGCAGAGGGTTGTGATGTCAGAGAAAATGCAGCTGGTAGAGATGGGTCTCCTAGATGGGGACGAGGAATGCACGGAGTTCCCTGAGGAAGACTGGGCTGGGTTAGATGAAGATGAAGATGCATGTGTCTGGGAGGATAACTGGAATGATGACAGTGTAGGAGACTAAAGAAACATGGTTAGAAGATGGAGACCTCACAGGATCCAGAAGTCTTGAAGCAACCCAAACTTGAACTGTTTACTAAATTCTAGAACAGAAAACCCAGGGTGGGGCACTTAAAATTATATATATATATATACACATATATACATACATATATAGAGGTATATATAATTTCATTACCTGCTTGGATTTATTTTTGGTTTTGTAGTACATACACAAAAAAGTTTTGATCTAAAAAAAAAGTCCAGAGTAGGGAACTCTATCAAGATAGAAAGTAGATTAGTGGTTGCTTAGGGTGGAGAATGGAGATGGAGGGTAAGGGGATGGTAGAGCATGGGTTTCTTTTTGAGATGATGAAAATGTTTGAAAATTGACTGAGCTGATGGTTGCACATATCTGTGAATATACACTGTAAATGGGTGAATTGTATGGTATGTGACACATATCCAATAAAGCTGTTTAAACAAAAAGTAGATATAGAGAGACACACATATAGATGCTATCAGGAAGAGAGAGAGAGATGTCATTTTAGAATTTGAAAGGCTATAATCCATTTGTAATAGCTATCTCTGGAAAATCATACAGGAAGTGTGTTTGTTTCATTTACACTGTGTCTTGTTTTATTGCCCCCAAATTTGTAACTGTGGACAAAATCTGGGGATGGAAGATGTTAAGGGTCCCACATTCTGAAGAGTCACAAGGTTGTGCAAAGAACTGGCTAGCAATTGGGAACAGACAGCTCCCTCAGAGGTAACTAAATGGAGCAAACCCATCCGATTACCTGAACTGAAATGGTTCATTTTATGTGTCCATCTGGCTGGGCCACAGTGCCCAGATATTTGGTCAAACATTATGCTGGATGTTTCTGTGAGGGAGTCTCTGGATGAGCTTTATATTGAAATCAATGGACTTTGAGTAAAGCAGATTGCCCTCCATAATGTGGGTGGGCCTCATCCAATCAGTTGAAGGCCTGAATAGTACAAAAGACTGATGTTCCCTGAGCAAGAGGGAATTCTGAAGCAGAGGACCTTCAGACTTGAACTGGGTTCCTAGTCTACCAGCCTAACCTCACAGATTTTGGACTTGCCAGCCTCTATAATCATATGAGCCAATCTCTGATAATAAATAAATATACATGTATATGTATTTTCTGTATATAAAGTCTATGTAAGCATGAGACCAGGACTAGGGAGGGGGAAGACATGTATCACTGGCATCAGGAGGACTCTTCCCCCGTCATCCTGGGGAGAGGTTCCACCCCCCCACCTCCCGAGGCAAATGGAATGAGGGGTTCTTCTAGGGATTTAGGTGCCTACAAATGAGAAAATTGATCTCTGATCCCTGAGTTTGACACCTCTTAGGGTTGTTCACCTCCTCCACACCTCCCTGAGCCAGAGAGAATGGAAGGAAAGGAAGACAATGGCCAAAAAGAGGGTAACAGCCATGCAGCCCACACTCGAATCACCTGAGAAGCAAGAATGGATGAATTTTTTTGTGTCCAGTAATGCCTCAAAAGATGGCTGGGCTTGAGCTGTCTTGCTGATGCCCCACCCACGAGCTTGATTCCCACCAGGTGGGAAGCCAGTAGCAAGAGGCTGCTGGGGGCAGTGGAGGAAAGCATAGTTGGGGGAGCTTAAGGAGAGGGGGAAGGAGGTTGTGCCAGAGCTGGATTTCCCATCTCAGGACAGGCCCGACAGAGACACCTGCCTAAGAACTCACACATGCCAGGGGGTGGACACCTATCACATCAAATGCATCAACGGTGATACAACACTAGCCAGAGAGGCAAGAGCAATGCCCAGCAGAGAGCACACCACCCGTCACTTAGGTAGAAAGCCTCTGCGTTTTTCCTTAGTCATCCCTCCTCGTGCATCCTAAAAGATGTAGAATCAAAAGAGGGTGGGAGAGGTGGAGGGACAAACAGCAGACCATTCCCTCGTTCCGAGATGGAAATCTGGGTATGTGGTGGGTGCACGTGGTCTCATGGCAGCAGGGGAGAGGGGACCTCAGATCCAGGCTGAACCATCACTCACCTCTGCTGCAGTCAGGTTTCTACCTGGGACTGCTGTCCATCAGACAGACTTTCACCACTCTTGGCCTCAGGGCATCAGGTTTGAGCTCTGGATTCCATTATTTCCACTTGGCCATGAAATCCCTGCATATGACATCCCTTAGGACTCCACCTCGTGCTGCCCACTCTGTCCTCTCGCCAAGGCACCCAACCCTTCTGCATCCCTGGCATGGGACTGAAACCCTGTTACGCATTCCTCTTCCTTCTCGGTACACAGCCGAACTACATTGTCCATGAGGGGAGTCATGTGATTCCATTCTGGCCCATGATGCGGGTGGAAGTGGTACATACTGCTTGGTGGCCAAACCCCTGAAGTCTCCTTTGCCTCCATGGACTTTCCTCCTCTTTTTCCTGGCTTGTCTCGGCTGGCCAGATAGAGAGGATGTGGCAGAGGACTGAGAGCTAAGGGGGCACCAGAGCCACCAGACGGAAGAGCTTGGGCCACTGGCCAGACACCCCATCTCCGGCTCATCCACCAGCCAAGGGCACATGATTGCTCCCACTGCAGGTCAACTGTGGGGGCAAATTTTCACCTGTCTTCTCCCCAGACTCACAGTCTCCCAGGTAACATGCAGGAAGTGAGCTAGGGATTTCTGATATTTGGGAGGAGGGTACAGAAATGTTTCTAAGCATCCCTGCCCCCACCAAGGTGTAACCCCAAGACGGGGATGATGAGGATTTTGCATTTGACCAATATGTCCTGTCTCTTGCTCTCTCCTTCTACAGGCCATCAGAGCAGAGGGGCCGAGCTGTTTGCCTCCTTTCCCTGTGTAGCAGGGTGGGTGGTGTATTACATCATGAGTTTCTCTACCCCATCTGTTACTGTAACCTCAATGTTCCTGCTGGCTGGGCCAGGCTGCTAACATGTTAATTTGGGAGCTTCAGGAATTTATAAGAAGCTTTCTCTCTCTATACATCCTGGCTCTTAAGCCTATGGTCTTGTTAGAGACTCAAAAAAGCATTTAATTT